GAAGAGAAGGAAGATAAATCAAAGTTACTTGCCGCCAGACTCCTCCTAAACTACTGCCCGACCACAGGCTGTCGCCAGACTTTGATCAGATTTCCACCTGGTCATCAACTGTCTCAGGACTTCTGCCCGACCACTAGTTATCATCGGATCTCCGCTCGGCCACCAACTGATGCCAGATTTACACTCGGCCGCCGACCGTCACCGGACTTCTACCCGGCCACCAACCGTCACCTGACACTTGTCTTTTTAATCTTCGTCGTCAGACGACTACGATCCTCTTAACCATCATCACTCTACTACGATCTTTCCAACCTCCATCGTCAGCCAACTACAATCCTTTCGACCACCGTTGTCGACAACGATCTTTCCGACCTCCGTCACCCACTAATGAAGACCCTTCTGATTACCTTCACTTGACTACGGTCTTTCTAATCTCTGCCACATGGCTTCAATCCTTTCGACCACCGTCCCCCGACCACGATCTTTCCGACCTCCATTGCCCGCCGATTACAGTTCTTCTAACCACCATCAGCAAGATTATTATCATGTCGACCAAACAAACATGTCAACACTGATTCTTCCAACTCTCACCATGTAATGCACTTTATATGATGTATATTTTCTACATCAAGTTAAGGCCTTCTCCATAAGGAAGGGCCTCATTTGTAATCAACTGCAAATATTAATATATTCATTTAAATTAGGCAAAGCCTTATGATTTTTTCCCTTTTCAGGAGTTTCCACGTAAAAACTCTTGTATCTCTTATGAACGCTATACCCCTCTCTTTTATATGATTGTGAGGTGGATCTTTATAAAAGCAAGGATGTTAAACTTTATATTTTTCTACCGCCGTGAATGTTCCAATCCACATCATTATATATATGTGGCAGATTTTTGGTTATGCATCCCAATTAATTTTTTACTTTTTTATTATTCTTAAAATTTAACTTTTGGACCTTATCATTAATTCATACTCACAACATCTTAGAGAATATTAAATCTAATTTTTTGTGGCCTAAGATTTAAATTGTTACTGAAAAAACAAGTTATTAATCAAATAAATTTATGATGGATTATTAATTTATAGTAATGTATTAATAATTAATTGTTCCTATTATAATGGTCGAAATTTATATAAATCTTGCTACAAAGAGCCCCATGTTGTAAAAAAAAAAATATATTTGATATACGAACAACAAAAAAATAATACATAATCGGTTCAAATTGGCGTATAAAAAAAGAATTTTCAAAGCCCTTTTCGGTGGAAATTAAGATAAAAATAAATAGGCTAAATCTAGGCCGCTCATTAATTTAATAAAGGGGCAATATTCTTCGGAAAAACCGGGCTCGCCCATTGGATGGGCTCAAAACCAACCTAACCCAATCCGAAACATTTTATATGATGGTCCCACTGAACCGAGATGGAAAGGTCGGAAACCGACGGCAGAAATTGGACCCACTACGCACATGGCCTGCGCGCTCATTTAATCGTTCCATAGCTGTTAATTAGCCTAATTAGTAATTAGACCTCATTAATTCATATTTTCCAAATAATATTTTTGGAAACAAATAGGGGATTTTTACGTGCATAACACTTAAAACTATCCTAAATACATATTCAACACCCAAAGTTTTATATTTACCTATCTACCACTCAAATACATCCATTTCATCTAAATTACTGCTCCGTCTAAACGCCGTGAACAGCCCACCCAGCTATGACTTTCGCGCGACCAAAGCCTGGACTTCAATTTTCGGCCACCGGCTCGTCGTCGGCATTGTGGAAGAAATAAAGTCGCCGGCTTTAGCAACGATGAAGGTTTTATATGCGCCGACGATGGGGAAAGGTGGAAGATTGATGGTTTCTTAGTTGATCTTTTCAAGGAATGAGAGAATGGTTGCTTCACGTGCGACAGCGAGTTCACGATCGTGTGCACGAGCGACAGATTCACGGCGAGCACGGCCGGATTCCTGCTCTCGCCAGACTTCTTCCTGCCCAATTCGTTCTTTGTCACGCAGCTCCATCACGTTTAGAAATTTGTTATGCAGGGATTCCTGGTGATCCATCAGCTGTTTTAACAGTCCTTCGAAGAATGCCGCGATGGACTTTAATTTCAGCCGTCGCCGGCGCCGACGACGACGATAATGGTGTTGAGTTTTCTTGAGATTCGTGTGAGCTTCGCCGTGGTGACAGGGGCGATGAGAGGATGATCGTCGCCGGTGAGTGCGGAGCCGGAGCCGGTGGTTTTAATGTTGACTGGTTCGGTGGCGGTGGAATTACTGCCGTCAGGTTTGTAAATAGCTTCAAGCTCGCTGAAGATTTTGTAATTGTTGCCTGGATGAGAATTCTCCAGTTCCTCTGTAATTACTCTGTTTCGCTTAGCGAAATGGAGCTCTGCTGACTCCTTCTCTTTGCACCGCTTGTTGTTGCTGTTAATGTAGTCTAAATCTAATGGCCGCCTGAAAAGAATTATAATTATAAAATGTTGACTGGTTCGGCGGCGGCGGCGGCGTGAAGAGTTGTTTTGGTAAATACTTCAGATTTTCCCTCTGCGGGGAACGGTGCGTCGGCGAAGAAGAGATCGAGGCGGGCAGTGACGAGATCCGGCCACTTCCCCAACACCTGCTTCAAGGTAGAGAAAACGTGGCCGCTGCTGGCGATACTCGGAAGTGCCTATGGCGTTGGTAGGTTCCGTAGGGACGGTGAAGAGGCGAACGAGGTCGGAGCTGTGACGGGAGCGAACGGAGTGGTTTTTTTATTAAGTTAAACGTTTTGAGGTGGTATATTAGTAAATAGGTAACTTTAGATGTTTAATAGGTAAATATGATAGTTTTAAGTGTTATACATGTAAAAGCCCCAACAAATAGCCTGTATCATATGGCATGTTAAAAAACGCACCGTTAATTAATGAACAAATCCAAGGCGTAGATACAATTTGAATGTCCATAATAACGTGCTTTTAAAATCAAAAAGTTATATAATAAAGAATATTATAATTATAAAAGCACATATTGGTAAATTATTCTAGATAAATTTTAAAAACATATACAGTAACTAATTTAATTATTAAAAATAAAATTTAAAAATAATTAGTCATTTCTTCAACGGGCGGCTCGATGAGACAAATCTAACGAGCTTAAGATCACATAATTCTGACGCCATTAAAACCTTCAAATGTCTATCAAATGGTCAACAATCAAGACAATATCCCAAAAATTTAAATATATTTTAATATAAATATAATATATAAATAATTAATTTTGCGTTCATTTTGAAAGAATTTTAATTTTTTTTTTATTTTTACTCTTATCATTTTATGATGAACTACCTATTATCAAATTGTTTTTTTAACATATGCATAAGTTGCCTGTTTAACGGGTGACTTGCTTGCCACGTTGGCAGGGTCCCCTATTAAACAAGTGTTATGTCTATTTTTAAAATTTATTTTTTATATACGTTGTAATAATAAAATATTTAATATATACATGTATTTTTTAAATTTGTTTTATTATGTTCAGTGCCATATAGATAGAAAAGATGATCATTACTGAATGCACGCAAATGGTAATAATATGATGTTTTAATAGATATTTTATGATAAGCATTAGATTTATAATATTCAAATAAATATCATAATCTGAATAATCATTTCAAATACATATTATTTAATTTAGATAATTGCAATTTAGAATTATTTTAGAGGAGATTAGATAAACTGTTACGTAGCATTAATAACATGGTAATTAAATAAATTAATCTTCAAATTAAATTTATAATCCAATTTGTTTAATCCTTTAATGATTATCATTTTTTTATATTAATGCAAAAAAGCTATCAGCTGTTTTAAAGTAGCAATAAATATATAATACATAGATTTTTCTAACTTCTAACCAATGATACCTCTCTAAAGGTGAAAGTGCTCTTTAAAACAGTGGAGGTAAATGTGAAGGAAATGATAGAGTCGGAGAATGAATTAAAGGTTTTGTTTGAGGGATTTTTTTACTGTTTCTTAAAATAAATTTTTGGTGCAAAATTAAAAATTTTATACTAAAAAACTGCTTCATGAAGAACTAAGAAAGTCGTCTCAAACGAAATCATAATTGATGAAATTGGACATTTCATTTGATATGTCAAAACAAAAAATTATGAAAGAGAAACAATGAGAGATATGATGGGAGGAATAAATAATCGAAAGAGATCATATGATACATAAAAAAAAGAAAATGGATGAAAAATTAATAGACATATGCAATGATTAGTATTGCAATTGAGAAGTAAATATAATTGTTATAAGCTCTTGTTTGGTGTAATGTAGTCAATTGGTATCTGTATGACACCCATAATCGTTCAATTTGAATCATTACATCTAAGAAGTGCACAGAGACAATCAATCACTTATATATCCACCAATTACTCTATCATTATGCAATTTATTTCCTTTTATTAATTTCGAGCATTCATATTTTTTGATACTAATCAATTGATCAATCATAATTTGGTAACTTATTTCCTTTGATTTTTTTTAATTATTCATATTTATGTGATCCTAAGTAATTTAATGGTGGATGTATTTGAAGGTAGCTTATTCCTTATTTAAAAATAAGATCTAAAAAATTACCGCTGGATATCTATTGATGAAGCGTAATCTTCCAATTAATAGAATATATATATTAATTCGTTTTCCTACGTAACTTTATTTATGGAAACGGTGAATCGGTCAAGTCACCGCACTCAAAAGTAGCAGTTCTGTAAGGTGAGGAGGTAACGTTACACCCGCAGTCGCAGGAGAAGGAGAAGTAAATGACCGCGATAACCTGCTACGCTCATACGAACCGTACTCGTCGGACCCACCTCACGTAAATCACCCAAATATGCAAAAATATGTCCGGCTATTAAGACTGCTATATTCGTTATTATCTACAACTTTAGGGTTTATATTTTCTCTGTCGTCTTTAAATAGCCTGGTGCTCTATTCAATTTGCTTTCCCCTGCACTCATCTTCTTTCCAAAATTCGAATAAGTCTGAGAAGAAGAAAACGAAAAAAGCCACAGATAAAACGAGAAAAGAGAGAACGAAAAAAACCCTAGGAGATCGAAATCTTGAGCTCGAGATGGGAAAGTGCAGCCAAATCCGGCACATTGTTAGGCTTCGTCAGATGCTGCGGCGGTGGAGGATGCAGGCAAGGGAGTCATCGTCTTCGTCACCGCATGCGATTGACGTGCCGGCGGGGCACGTTGCGGTCTGCGTAGGGAGCAGGAGCCGGAGATTTGTGATGAAGGCAGCGCATCTCAACCATCCAGCCTTCCTGAACCTTCTCCACCAGGCCGAGGAGGAGTACGGCTTTTCCCAACCCGGCCCCCTCGCCCTACCCTGCGATGAGTCCGTTTTCCTGCAGATCCTTCGTCAGATCTCGTCCACCTACGCATTCCGCTTCGCCTCGGAAGACGATTCCGATTATCTTGCGTCCGGATCCTGCTGCTGCTGCCGCGCCGGAAGCAAGTGCACCTGGCGCCCAGATGTCCTCCCTCTCCTCCGCGGCTACTCCGCGAAACAGGTCTGGTGAGCCACCAGAACCCTAATAAATCTTCCCCCATTCAGCGATCACATAGGGGTGGCCGATTTCGGGTTTGAATTGAAATTTTTTTCTTACCTTTTTTTTTCGCCCCTATTTTGGTTCATTTTTCTCTGGTCTATGAACTGTGAGATGGCGAGAATAGCCTGCAAGTCGTCCCATGGAAATGGAGCCGGAGGAAGGATTGGTGATCATTCACCCGATTTTGTAAATAATGTGATTTGTTCGACGAAATTTGCTGAAGTTCTAAACTGTAGCAGCAGCGTAGTGATTTTTAACTAATTGTTGTTGGCTTGATGAACTATTATTTCGTAATTGTCGTTGCACTGTCGCTGTAACAGGATCTTGGCAGCATGTTTTTTTTTTCGAAGGAAGTACACTATTATCATTCTGCCGCTGTTATTATCATTTTTTTGCTCTTTCTAAGAAGGTAACATGGCTGAAATAATTGGCATGAGGTGAAAATTTTCCGCAATATTTATTTTGGGAAAGTGGAGAAATGTTCTGAAGGGAATTTAATGTATTATACTTTTTAAAACTTTGTTTGTTAGAGGAGCAATTTATATTTAACAATCAATTTATATTTATAATAATTTAATGTATGCCTCTGACTTTGGATCCTCTTTAAATTTGCTTTCAGAAATAACTTTCTAATAAAAAAGAATTTATGTACAATAACTATTTTCTACATCAGCTTTAACAAAAGCTGTCGCTCAAAAGTTCAAGCAAATATGTTTAAATTAATTTTGAATTCATGAAGGCTATGCGTTCAACAACATCATTACATAATTAAGATGAAGGCTAAGGGGGCACAAATGTCCATCAATTTTTTTTTGGGGATTTCATATATATTATTCTATTTATATGTCTGTTGCGGGCTAGAAAATACGCGGCGATAGAGATTTAATTCTATGTCTTAGCGTTGTACGGATAATTAGCTCACACACAGAGAAAGCAAGATTTTTAACGTGGAAAACCCTTAGAAAGGGAAAAAACCACGGGGCCTAGCCAAGTTGAAATGAATCCACTAGACTTTGAGTTTGTTACAAAGGACTGAATCACCTCCAAGGGTGATCAGATTACAATCAGTTACTTAAGTAAGACGTCGGGTCTTCGGCAGGATGTAGGGACTGAACGTCGGGCCCTGAGCAGGACGTCGGGTCTTCGGCAGGACGTAGGGACTGAGTGTCGGGCCTTGAACAGGACGTCGGGTCTTCAGTAGGACGTAGAGACTGAGTGTCGGGCCTTGAACAGGACGTCGGGTCTTCAGTAGGACGTAGGGGCTGAACGTCGGGCCTTAAGGTGGTGGTCCGGCGAGGTTCTGCGGTGGTCCGGCGAGGTTCCTGCGGTGGTCCGGCGGTTGTCGAGGAGGAGCTTCTTCCTTCTCTTCTCTTCTTCTCTCTCTTGCTTCTTCCCCCACTTGTGAAGAATGAGGGCTCTATTTATAGATTTTCTGAAGTCACATGGCCCGTAAATAGGTGTGAGATCAAGGGCGAATAGGGAGTGGTTCGAATGGACGGTCGATAGTGAACTCTTAGATCGTGCACAGTTCGTTGGATATTTGGAGGCCTTAATGATGTCGGAATTCAGCGATCTTGGGCTCGTTGGATTCGTCTCGTTGAGCCGTTCGATTTGAGTATAAACTCGTCAAAATCGGAGACCGTTTGGTAACTCAAATTGCTGTTTGAACCTTCCGACTGCACTTTGAGCCCTTGATTTGGACTCATTTGGGCTCGGATTGGGTTGATCTTGGTGTCGTTGGGTTCGTGTTTCTGAGACGCTCAATTTGACTATAAGCTTGCTTAAATCGGAGTCCGGGTGCTCCCAAAATTAATTTTTGAAGTTTCCAACTAGCTTTTGCCTCGAGATTCGTGCCTGATAAAGATAATTTTTGCATGACGTATCAATGTCTAACACGTAAAATTTTAATATTACATATATAACACCTATAGTTCACTTTCATATCAAATATGAGTGATAAAAATTAAATATATGGGTGGTAGTAATAAAATATGAGCGGCATATTTGATATTAAAATAATATATTGTGGTATGTATGTAATATTAAAGATTTAAGTGTTAGATATGTAAATATTATGGTATAAAGTGGTATCTATATAAATTTCTCTTTTTTTTAGATATCTATCAAAATTTTTATATGCTTTATATATTGTAAATTTTTTTTATTTAAATATATTTTACTCTTAATTCGTTTAAAAGTTGCAGTAACCTCTTAAAAATATTAATAATATTTTTAGCTCTTTAAATATCATGCATAAAAAGCTCAACCTATGAAAAAGAAGCGGACATAAAATGAGAGTTAGATGCTCATCAAACTTAACACTCATAGAAAAGGCCAAAGACCCGTGCTGCATGAATTATTGGATCTTAATCGAATAATCAACATGAATTATGGGCGAGAATAATGTTAAGAAAGATACATTAACATTCAAATTTGTTTTTAGCCTAAAATTTATTTTTAGTAAGGGTGTCACACCACAAGATCAAATTTAAAAAAATTAGCTATTTTTAAGATCTAATTGAACTACGAGAGCTACTAATAATAATATGCCAATATAATTTAGTCAAGCGAAAACAACTAAAAATCATATACATCAAAATGTAAAATTATGTTCATTCCTTCAAAATTCTTGTCCAAAGGCAATACATTGCTTCATGGACATTTTATAAATTAACCAAAACCACCTCGTGAAATTTCAATGTCAACAAGTCAAATATTCAAGAGGATGGTGTGAAGAGTTACAAGGTGAAAAATCATTAAAACTAGAGATAATGCATTTTAATTAATGTTAGGAGTGATAAAATCCAAGAAATCGAAATCATATTGAGATTACCTACAACGATCTGAAGCCTTTTCATGAATGTGTTACATACATGAACAATTTTCTCTCTTTCTCTCTCCTTTTTTTCTTCTCATTTTCTGGCAAGCCAAGTGAAGAGGCGGGTAGATGGCTGATCAGTAAAGAAATTTATATTAAAAATATATAATTCAGTTTTCAACGGCTCAACGTTTTGAACTCAACGCTGCAACGTTGCATGCTCAATCCAGAATTACTATAGAACATAAAGCGCAGCGTCTCCACTTCAAATTTCAGAGCCCTTGCACTACTCCCCTCCAACCAGTACCGCGACGCTTCAATCTAGAATTTTTAGATTTTTTTTTCATATTTTATTTTAAAATTATTTTCATAATAATCAAATTATTACACATGGTCAATCACTTGACAACCTACAAGCTACAACAACAGATGTTCCACACGTATTAAGACTAATTCAAGGCCTCGTAGAGTCGTAGGCCATAATGTTTTTGGAAGGCAGAAATTCCTTTTTCAATAACCAATTTTGAGATTAAATGGCTCATATGAAAATAAAGCATAATGTTTGGATTGAAATATAATTGTTTTTTTTTCAATGAATAATTTTTTTAAAGAAAGTACTATAAAATCTTTATATTTTAATTAAAAAATTTTGCTTGATTGACTTAATCACATGCATTTTTATATATGTGGGTTACATTAATCGATCACCCATACTTTTAATCAAAAGTACAAAACTATGAAGAAGATGGAGAGTACAAAAATATGCTCACTAATCTCTAATTAATTCAAATTGGCTGAGAGTTTTGACCCCAACTATGAGATTAAAAATTACTTTCACACCAGAAGTGGTCATTTTTAGGCTTTGTTTGGGATAGCTTTCTTACAACTTATTGGCATTTTAGACAACAATCATAATTTCAGTTTGCCTATTGCTTTTTTGTTGCATTCAAAAATTTATGTAATAGGAAGTTGCTTTCTACTGCTTTTTAAAAAAGTTGTTTTATGTGCATTAGCTTTTCAAAATAGTAAGAAAGTTGTTGTCTTAAATGAAAACTTAGGCTTCGTTTGGGATGGCTTTCTTACTGCTTCTTAACGTAGATTTCTAGTACAAAAAATTTAATTTATGTATTAGAAAGCTACTTTATGAAGCATAAAAAAGCTGTCTCAAACAAAGCCTTAAGTTTTGCTTGGGACAACTTTCTTAGGGTCCGAATGAAAAGAAGAAGGTTAATTTCGACTTTCTAGCATATCAGAACAGCGGAAAGCGACAGACCGCGGGAGGTATTTTGCTTATCAAAAAACAGGCTGCCGACGTAAAAATTTTTAGGCCGGAGGTCCAATGCACTGCCCCAAACAGCACGGGGTGCGCGTTTTAAGCCGTGAAGCAGCCCAGACGTCGTCCCAAACGTAGCCTTAATGTTTCTTAAAGCAACTTTTTAGAAACAAAATTATAATTTTAGACTAAAAAATTGTTTTAAAAAGCAGTAAGGAAGTTGTCCCAAACGAAGCCTTAATCTATACACATCATGCTTGTACTTGAATTACAAATTGAATGCAATTTTTAGTTGGATTTAAATGAGATTTTTAAAAATAAATTATAAGAAAAAAAAAGGACCAAATCAACCAAAAAAGGATTTAACTGGTTATATGCAGTGAGAGATATCCAACGGTTGTGATAGCATGGAATTATGGAATACACCAAAAGTATGATCGATTGTTCGGCAAAGAACAACAAATATCTTCCTCTATTTCTTCGTTGCCGCCCAAAATCTTTCATTGAAAAATACTGAAACTTTACAAATAACATGCTATGACATTGAGACGAAACCAAAATAAGAGAAACAGACAGAAAAGCTTCAAAATCATATGTGGATGTCTAGCCTTTGTTTTGTAGGGGGAAGCTAGCCGTAGAGACAAGAGAGTCTTGAGGTACAATACCAGATGAAAATAAAAGAAATAAATGACTTTACCACTTAGTGGTTGATCTGCAGCTATCGATGCTGTCAATGAAGCTTCTATTTCAGAACAAGTTGATCTTTTCAGTGCTGGTTAGTTGTATGTCATGGCATCGAGGATGCCTACGATGAGCGCATATTAGTTTATCGGGAATCCTCCATCAATGCCATTAATTTGATTTCGTGAATTTTAAAGCTATAGGAAAAAAGAGGACAACATTCAATGGTAATGGAAATTTTTAAAGCTATGATGATTATATTGGACTAAGGGGCTGTTTGTTTGATAGTTTTTCAATATAAACTTTGAAATTTAAAATTTTTAATAATAAATAAGTTGATATTTCATCAGAAAGTTTATATGATTAAGACTTATTTGGGATGATTTTCTTACTACTTATTAAAGTAGATTTTTAGTACAAATATTTTAATTTTTGTACTAAAAAGCTACTTTGAAAAGTTGTAAGAAAGCCATCCCAAACGAAGTCTAAATATGGATTTGGCCATTTTAAATGAGAAATATTTAATATTAAATTTAGGATTATCCAAACTTTGATTTCAATAAATTTTTGTTAAAAACAAATATTTGCAAAAGATGAGTTCAA